CTGCAGCAGGGAGAGGACAAACTCCCTATTAATTACCCTTGATTTCAGTTAAGACATGCTGGATAAACAGGTGTCTACATACTATAGGACACAGAGTATACTAATACCTAAATTATAATACTGTATAATAGCAATAACAGTAACAATAACAGCTCAGAAACAACTACAGTAACAGTAAAAGAGACAGCAATATAAATTACACTACAATCACAATAACAATAATGAGGTGCTAATAGGCCATTGAGGAATAACAAAGTGTACAAACACAGAATGGGTTTATGTTCACCCCTGCTTTCCCTTAAACATCTTATTTGACACGTTTACTATATTACATCATCACCATCATCATCACCATCATCGTCATCGTCTTTGGTTCTCTTTCCATGCTTATTATTTTCAGAGGAGAACTTTAACAGTGTCAGTTCTTTATTTGAGGTGATAGGTGGGATGATGGTCTATGCTCTTTAATTTTTTTTTGTTGTTTAATATTGGGTGATCGTGGACTACGGTGGGCTACAATGAGATGTTCAGCATTCACGGCTCCCCAAAAATCAACCTCCAGTTTATTTCACTGTCATGGTAAATGGTTGGGAAAAAAGTTGGGAAAACTGAACTTTTGACTGTGAGTGTAACATTTCTGCTGGCAGTGGGTTCATTTTCTGTTATGTCTCTATTATAAACAATGAAATATCTGGTTTGTCATTGTCTGTCTACCGCCAACATGAAACGCAGCATAACAAATAGCTGATTGGATGTCAGCCCACTATGACATCATCTTATTTTATTCATTTATTTTTACCATTTGTTTGATTCCCCCCACCTCCACGTGCCTTTTTAAAATCTTAATATCCCCCCACATTATTACTGCTTTTTATTCAGCAACTGCTTGGACTACAGTGCAAACTGTCTAAGTTATACCTCAGTTATAGAACTGCAATACAAGTTTGGAGCTCCTGGCCGCTCCTGTTTGCAAACTTTGAAACTAAATATTATGATACATACCTTACATCATGAAAATGCCTTGAAGTATCGTGATGTTCTATTATTGCCATATCACCCACTCTTAATCTACTCATGAACACATTACATTTCATTATACTGTCTCGTATAGAAAATACTGTTATCCAGAGAAACTTGTTAAATGTGCAATCACACACACATTCAAACACACTCTCACATGTATGACCACTCATAAACACACAAGCCTTTAACTGACACAACATCTCAGGCAAGAGTGCCCTCTACTGGTGAAGTTCCTAAACCTCATGTGAAGAGCATCCCTGATCGTAGCAGCACATAAGAGCTTTTTTTTTTAAGTGGGTTATGCCTCTCTACCTAGGCCGCAGATCAGGAGCTGTATTGATCCTTCTTGTCGTCATTCTTTTATCATTTCCGTCACATATCTGACATTATCACAAGAAATCCCTAACAGCATCTTACTGGTGTAGATGCCCAGGCTTCTGAGAAAGGCATAGTGATTCAGGTAAACAAAGGAAAGAGAGATTAGTCCGCTATAGGAAGCTTCTCAGGCAGCATTTTCCCCCTCTCTCAGTCACTTTGACTCGATCAGATTTGTCTTCTTAACATGGTCTTTTTCTCGTGTTTAGACACTGATGCGATCACAGAGCACTTCTTAAGGAGATCAAAGCCCACGATCAAATCAGGCTCTAGCTCAGGGCTGTGCTGGGGAAGCAGAAATTCTTGTCATCAGATGAAGAAGAATGTGGCCTTTATTCTGCACTTTAAGAAGAGGAACTACCACACTCCTCTTTCTACTGCTGCTAAATGTCTGCTGTTACTATGGCTTGACAATATGGCAAAAAAATAATGTAATGATACTTGAAGACATTGTCATGATCCACAATATGTACCATGATTTTTTTTTTCTAAGGTTTGTTGGACCAAAAATGAAATGGTAGTGAAACACAACCAACAAAATAGTGGAACCACATTTTTAAATGCTATCTAAAGCCATGGAATGTTTTTATTTCTATTTGTTGTAGAAATTATATATATATATATATATATATATATGTGTGTGTGTGTGTGTGTGTGTGTGTATACCAATATATAGCTGCTGTCGGAACAGAATGTTGTATCTGAAAATGCCTGTTGCCCTTTAGGTTGTATGTAAATGTCATGATGAGAGATGTCCATTAACTTACATTAAAAGTAAAGTATGTTTTTTTTTTTTGTTCTCCTCTAAAGTTACCATGTTGGAGATACAAGGTTTTGTTCTGACAGCAATTGTGCATTACAATGTGCAGAAGTTTGTTCTCTCTTAGAACACAGGTGTCCAGTCTTATCCACAAAGGGCCAGTGTAACTTCAGGTTTTCATGCCAAACAAGCAGTAGCACAAATGTTTTACTTCTTTAATCAATTGCTCTCAGACTTCAAACAATCCCTGTGTTTGCTGGAATGAAAACCTGCAGCCACACTGGCCCTTTGTGGAAAAGATTGGACACCTCTGACTTAGAAAATCAACAAAACATGGTGTTTGACTGGGGCACATACTTTTGCATACAACTGTATGTATTTTCTTCAACGTTTTACATCAGTACATTCAATTAAGCAGGACCAGTCATGCTCTCGTAGACTCTAAGCTCTGTCATAATCAGAAATCAGACCATCATTTCCTGACCATAGTACGAAAAATGTTTTACACTGCACATGCGAAAACAAGAACTGACCCAATCAGGAACCAACAGAACTTGGATGGTTCTAGTTCCAGTTCATTTTCTATGTGCTTGAGAGACAACTGAAACTGTAATCATAACTATGATTAATGATTTGATTGTCTTTTTGGTCTTTTCTGCATACTTATGTGGCTTGTCAATACACTATCTTGCTTGCTAGGTATTTGCTCGCTAGTTGCGCTCACATATACATAAAAGTCTGTGACTATATATATGTACTCATATATTTTTCTCTGTTGAATCTGAAAATATGAGACAAAAACATTTTGTGGAGACTAGCATAAATACTTATTGCATTAGCATTAACTAGCCTTAACTAGATTATGTCACCTTAGCAAACCCTTTACACATTCCATTCTAGCTAATATTCTGATGCAGTTATTTGTCATGTTATTGTGCTTGGGGAATTTCAATGTTGAGCAAATGCCAAAACACATAAAATGGAACCTTCAGTGCTGAACTGGTGGCCTCAGGGAAAAGCACAGTTCCAGTTTTCTAGTACCAATAGTTCCAGTACTTTGCGTAGTGGAAAAACACATAGACAGCTACACTCTTAAAACAAAAAAAAAAGCAAAGGTGCCAAAAAGGTTCTTCAGAGCAATGTCACAGAAGAACTACGTTTGGTTCCTTAAAGAACCTTTCTAACATGAGTTCACTGGAATGCCACTACATAACAGTGACATAATCATACTATACACATGTAATGACAGATGGCATATGCTGTCATAAGTTGTCATAACAGGCTTTGTCCAGTAAAATAACACTGTCATGTCACCATTACATAGTAATTGTCATGACAGATGCCATAATGTTTGAGATAATGGCACTATTATATTAGTGAATGAAACATATCATGGCAACTCATGACAGCCATGACATGTTTAACCATTGAAACTTTACATTTAAGGAACCTACACATAAAAAATGAAAATGAAACATGTAATTGGTAAGCAACCTTCATGCACTAATGATGTCCATGATGTTGTCTAGCTGTATGTTATTTATTTATTTTTCCCCAGCAAAAAACTCACCAGTTACCAGTCCAGTAAATGCCTGAGGCAGTCAAATGCATTTGAGTTTCCTCTGACAGTGCAGCAATATGACCACACTGAGGTGACTAACTAGGGTTTAGTTTTATATGTACATATACAGTATGTTGATGTGTGCATCTGCATAGGTGTGTCATGGTGTGTGCTGCTGGTCCACCTCAGGGGTTGACAGCTCTGCTGTTGTTCCAGATGTCTTGCTGTTAATAATTAGGCACCATCGTTTCTCTAACAGTTTAATTAAAACTGTCTCCTTTCTTTGTTGGAGCAGCCGGCTCCCCTGAAACCGCACAGCACAGCGTTAGCTAGCTAGACAGATGAGTTAAGAAGTCATGTTTTTAACAGTAATTGCCAGACTCCCCGTTTCCTTGGGGTAGGTGTTGATTGTAAGGTTGATGGAGTAGTGGAGCCGTTGGCAGTTGTGGGGAAGAATGTGCAGTGCAGACCTGTGGAGCTATTCTCCACTTATTCGCATTAGCTGAAACAAAGTCATTGATGAAGTAGGGCCACAGACTGGTGCTGATCTGGAACAGGGATAGGTATTTTAGGACTTAGTCATTAGCATTAGCACCTATTTATTTATTTATTTATTTATTTAAATCATTTTAATGGGATTTGCTCAGGGGTGCATGTAGATGCAGAAGTGCGTGTCCTGTGCTCCACCGTTTTTGCCTCATGGGGACTTTATTCCAGCTTCAAAATTTGAACCAGTGACATTAGCAGTCTTTTAGCTTATATGTGGCAATATTAGCATTTTGGCTACTTATAATAATCTTGTGATTCAAAGGAAAATGCCATTCATTTTCCATTAAGGAAAAAAAAGGCTTAGACACAGAGTTTGGGCATATCGTCAACTCCAGAGTAACACATGACCTCCAAGGTCTACTTCATGTCACTAACTGTGTGAGAATTGATGTGTTACTAATGCTGATTGCCTGATTGTGTGTGTATATATATATATATATATATATATATATATTCAGAAAAAGAAGACCATTTTGAATGGGAGTCTCCCTGCCCCTACATCTGTATACACACTTGACCAAAACATGACCACCCCATAACTCATCTACTCACTATTTATTTCTACGTCCAACATCTGTTTATGTACTATCTACTCTCAACTTCTGATATATTCTTTTCTCTATTATGCTCTTTTATACCTTTTTGCTTGTGAACATTAACAAAAATTCAGCCGTTGTGTATCTTTAAAAATATGTGTGTGACTTGAAGATGTACCCTTCTGCTATGTTTCAGGGTGATAAGCAGGGCTCCAGGGCTCAAATTGGTGGTTGAAACTCTAATGTCGTCCCTCAAGCCAATCGGAAACATTGTGGTCATCTGCTGTGCTTTCTTCATCATCTTCGGCATACTCGGGGTACAGGTGAGTTGTCATTTTTGTGCCGATGACTACTTACAAGCATTTATACTGCACTAAATGAAAGTGCCAGAAGGATTCTTTGGAGGGATGCCTGGTCTAAAACATTCTGTTGACTTCAAACTCATTTATATTAAACGCTTTCTATTATAAGTGCTTAGATTTAGCAGCCTTTAAGTGCAGGAAAACTGCAAAATTAATATGTGGTAATTGATCATATGATACAGTTTTGTCAGATAGAGATTAGGTTGAAAAACACTGGAGTGTTCCTTTAAAGAGCCATTGTTGAAAGATGGATATCATTGGTGCTTCAAGGATGATGAACAACTACACTGTGCAAAGGATCAGAGACCGCACTTCATTTATTTCAGTCAAAATGTCCATTATGTACAAGTTAATCATTTTTTTTTAGCATTAGGAAAGGAAGCAGAAAACATATATTTAACAGAAAATTTCACAGAATCCTTAACAACAAAATATATATTCAGTAAGTTCAATATTGAATGTGTCCACTCTATGCTTCCATTTTTTTTTTCCAGAGACTTGCTTTCAGTTTTTCAAAGAAATCTTCAGGGATACTTCTTATCACACCATCATACTTATCACACCTCTAAAGTTCAGTCTTTGAAGTTGGTTGCATTTTCTGCTTCTCATAACTCAAGTAATCCCAAATAAATTCAGTGAAGTTGAGGTCTGGATTCTGGAGTGGTCAGTTCATTGTTCTAAGAACACCAGCAGCTTCTTTGTTTGATTTAATTTGTCATTATTGATTTATGACAGACATAAATCCTTGCAGACACGTCCTTGTAGATATCTTCAAAAAAATGAATGACTTCATTTACTTCATTGCTATTTTAGAAAATGAAAAAATGAAGGGTGGTTTCTGACTTTTGCACAGTGCTATATATTCTCTTCCTGTTTTGTTTTATCACTGTAATATCAGTCAGTTCAACTGCTTTACACTGTACTGTGAAGCTCCTTTGAGCAAGTACAGTGTTTCATGCAGCAGTGGAGTAATTTATGTCTGTATCATAAAAGCCCAGAGTCATAAATTCTGAGGCCCCAGTGGGCTTCCTCTACAGGATCTTGTCTAAAGGGTCATTAGACTGAAAAAAGAGGTACATGGAGAGAACACATGGCTAAGACTCTGTACAGAGCAGAATACCTGAGGCTCTGAACCCACCCTTGTGTGTGCTGGGACTGCATGATATGACAGCGATGAAAAATGTCTTATTTCATAATTCCTCAACTTTTCTTAGCCCGTGGAGGGGTCCTAAAGCCATTTGTCTTTAATGTCATGAAAAATTATTCTGTGTACGCTTTCTTGTATTATACATGTAGAAATGTCTTTGTCCCTGTCTTTTTTAACATTAAACACTCCTTAAAAAGATGTGTTAAAGGGTTCTTTGGAAGGATGCAATACAAGAACCACTTTTGCTTCTATAGAGAACTTTTCATTTGATGGTTCTCCAGCATTTTTCAAACTATTCTGGCATGTTTGTAGAATACAGTCACTTACGAAAGATAGAATTTAGATCATTTGTCCTGTAGACTCAAAATACACTTACTAGAAGGCTTTTTGCCGTAAATTTTCTATTCTTTTCTAAAGTGTTGCCTTCTAAAGGCTTCTATTATTCATGTATTTTTAGCCAGTGGGTTTTCTGTTCTTCTTTAAGTTCTGAGAAAAAACTTTGAAATTATTGTCTGTGGTGATTATTTATACACTAGCAGGCATAGCAGAGAAAGACTGGGAATGGAATATTCATTGGAATACTGGAGTAATTTGAAGCATAGATAGAGTTCCCTCAGCCCTGCACGTTTTTGTGATTTCCTGCTTAAGAACACCCAGTTTAACTAAGGAAGGGCTTGCTAAGTAACCACATTGTTGGATCAGGTGTGTTGGGAGCAGGGTAAACACTAAAATGTGCAGGGCAAGGGGCGTACTCCAGGACCAAAGTTGGAAACCACTGAATTAAAGAGCCATCCATCTACAGGTTCTTTAAGGGAACCAGAGGTGATTCATCAGTATCATCACTGCAAAGAACCTTTTTGGCCCCTTTATTTTTAAGAATGTAAATCCAGTCCATGACTAGACTCTAGTTGTATTCAAAATCTCTCCCTCTTACAGAAGTTCACTCTGTAGTTTGTCATCCATGTTGTTCGGATTCTCAGTCATATTTTTTTTTAGTCTATTAGTCAGGATCGTACTTCAGTCAGTTCACAGTATATCAAACAATAGGGATGGGAGTTTTCAGCCCATCACACTTCAATTCAATTGCAAGTCAAGATGCCAAGATGAGATTATAAAATAATGCTTATGACAGAGTTGTGTATATTTTGTCTGCCCCTTAAGTAAAGTGAGAGTTATACTTGTGTTAATAAGATTACATGAAGTCCTATGGAAATGTCATTACACTGTAAAGACAGAGTTGTGTGTATTTTCTCTGGCCCCTAAGTAAAGTGAGTATTATGTTTGTGTTCACAAGATATTTATGAATCACTGGGGAAATGCCATTAGACAGTAAAGACAGAGTTGTGTGTATTTTCTCTGGGCCTTAAATAAAGTGAGTTTTATTTTGCTGTTTATAAGATGTTATGAGTCCTAACAGTAATGCCAAAACACTGAAAAGAGTTGTGTATTTTTTATTTTATCTAGTTCTTGAGTCAAATGAATAGTTTGTGCGGTCGGTTTTTGCTGGATGTTCCTGCACTCACAGCGCCTGCTTTGTGGAGTCACATCTTTCCTTTTTCTCTCAGTGGTGGTGAGAGGCACAACCAGTTATTAGGTTTAGGTGGGCAGTCATTTTTTCACATGGGTGATATAGATTTTGAATAAACCGTTTGTCTTCAGTAAATGAAATGATCATTTAAAATCTGCATTTTGTGTTTACTCATGTTGCCTTTATCTTACATTAAAATTAGTTGGATGATCTGAAACATTTAAATGTGAAAAATCAGCAAAAAGAGGAAATCACATATACTTTTTCACAGTACTGTGAATGTGTATGTGGGTTTATGTTGTTTCTGTTGGCTTGAAAGAATCATGTAATTGTCATGTAGCCTCATGAACAATAAATAATTTCTATTTTTTATTTTTATTTATTTATTTATTTCACTTTGTACATTGTGGCTTTATGATTAATCCTTCAGACTGACATACACGGATACTAGGGGTGTGGGAAAAACTCGATTCTTAGATGCATTGCGATGCGGACGTGGACGATTCTGAATCAATTCATAAATGTCAAAAATCGATTTTCTAAATATTTTATTTATTCCGTAATGTTGATGGAACGTAAAATGCGGAACTTGGAAGTGGGTAAGTGCAGCGCCCGGACAGTCTGTAGCGGCACATAACAAAAATACTACTGGATGAGTGAGAAATATGACCGGCACACTGTGCATTAAAGCCAGGTTAGATCAGGAGTCACAACACAAATGATAATAAGAGCCATTTTGTCCTTTCAGCAAAAATCAAACCAGCTTGGGAGCCACAACCTTTAATGTCTAGTATGTCTCAGGGTGTGCTGATGTCCTAGTATAGGCTAAAATATAAACGAGAGCGCAGATTTACTTCGCTCCGCTTCAAGCTTTAGCTCAGCTATAGCCGCTTTCCTGCCCTTTCCACCAGGAAACTTTTCCTCAGAAGCAGAGCAGCTTATTGTAAAATGCCTCTCAGTCTTCGGCTGTTTTATGAGGCTGAAGTCGCTTCTCATTCTCCAGCTTCTTTTTCTAATTTTCCCGTTCCACCTTAAATTCTGCCTGAGGCACCGAATGTAACTGCTGCACCATTTAAGGTGGAACGGGGAAATTCGAAAGAGAAGCGACTTCATCTTCGCAACTTTTTAGTGTTTGACAGTCTCTCGTTGCAGATTTAACGTTCCAGGAAACTGCGCCGCTTATAAATGCGAAAAGTCCACTCATTACCAAATGTTTGTCTTAGCTAAATCTCTCTCTTTGCCTTTTTGTTCACTACTAGCGAGACGAGACTTCGCAGGTATGTGACCTGCAGTCTGCACACCATTTCTCAGTCGTTGAGAACCAGGGTTTTCGCGCTATGTTGCACACTTTGGAGCCGAGATTCAGCGTCCAGTCTTGAAAATATTTTACTGACATAGTGACCCCCACCCTCTCTACAACGAGACCAAAACCAAAGTTAGAAAATCACTGAATTAAACGAGTAGGGCGGCTGTAACGTGCTGCATGGACATCCATTACCACTTGATCTTATTTCATCGTAACTGCACATTTTATCGTGGATGAGTGGCAGCAGCATCTCATGTGCTCCAAACAAGAGCAGTGAATGAGAGCCTTTCAGTTCACTCGCCACATCACTTCCATTTGATTTATTAATAAAAGATATTGGAAGTAAATTCATTATGGATCATTACAAATACTTTGCTTTAAGAGTCCTCACACAGTGACAAAATAGAAATCCTGTATATAAAAAAAGATGTATCGAGATGCATTGATAATCGTGTTATAATCGCATCGCAGCCCTCTGAATCGTAATCAAAATCGTGAGGTGCCTAAAGATTCCCACCCCTAGTGGATACTGTAGTTGAGTTTGTAGACTGATAGACATTTTTCTGTCCACAGCTGTTCAAAGGAAAGTTCTATGTGTGCCACGGGGAGGACACAAGGAATATAACCAACAAATCTGACTGTGAGCTTGCTAAATACAAGTGGGTCAGGCATAAGTACAACTTCGACAACCTGGGGCAGGTAAGCACTTACACTGCTTTGCATTTAATGGACCTCTTTTGAAAGATCATTATTATTATTTTATAGCTCTTCCTGACGGGGATGAGTAACGCTACATTTTATTTCAAAAGCATCTGTTGTTTGTGAAGTCTGTCTGGCATCTCAGCCAAATGAGAGCTTATGCGTCATTCTGTTTTCCATATTTATATTACCTGCTCTGCCCTGACTGTGTTTATTTTTTTTTTTTATAGGCCCTGATGTCTCTTTTTGTACTGGCTTCCAAAGATGGCTGGGTGGACATTATGTATGACGGACTGGATGCTGTAGGGGTTGATCAACAGGTACCCACCAGTTTCTAGTACTTAATTAAGCTAATTAATCCACTAAAACATGCAACTTTATTTATTTTGTTCAATTTACATGTATAGTTCTATCTAATACATTCTTTTAGGCTGATAACTCAAACCAGACCTGATAGCCCACATTTTTGCTCTGTCCTAGCACCCAACACACTTGAACAAAGTCGTTAAAGGGGACCAGTCATACTGTCCAATAGTTTTGATCAATTCTTCTGCCCTCTAAATAAATGACATTATGACTTTTTACCATATTGCTCTAGATATATTTTACTGTTTTGTTCCAGAACCTATTCAGGCATCTTCCTTCCCAGACTTGGTCACTTCAGAATCAGCTGTGAAGACAGGATATTTTGAGAGCCTCAGCACAAGCAGAATATGTTTGAATGTTTTAAGCTAAAACCTGAGTTGGTTCAGTGGTTTAGCTTTTCAAGCTTTTCTCGTAACATTTTTGACGATGTCAGACATTTGAACAGGATCTTTGAATGGAATCAGCCTATTGCAATTTAGTTTAGACTTCTTGGCTTTGCTTGATAAATGTCCAGCCAATGCAATCTTCTTGAGTAAAACTCACATCGTTCCTATTGGCTCTTGGTTCCATATATTTGCATACTGGGCATGTCTTTCCACCTTGTTTACCCTATCGTCTGTGCATTGTCACTCTCCCCAGGCTAGCTTCCCCTGGGTGTCCACTTGTTTTCTAAATTTTTGTAACTCATTTTAGTCAGTACTGAATGGTTTAGTGGTGGTTAAACGCTACATACACTACTTCTGCACTCTGGGCTAAACTGTCAGCATTTGGCAAGATGGTCCAGAGTAATATTACATTGGTTAAGACATTATTATCAATGTCTGTTATAATGAAGTTTCTTCAATACAGTATGAATATGTTGCAGTGATAGTGTAGTTTAGCCTGTCAATGAATTTAGTTTACAATTAGAGAATTTTATTGAGTTAGTACAACTATCACATATAAGTCCAAAATACTCAGTCATTAGTTAGCACACTTTACTCAACTTACTTAGGTATTTAAAACAATAAACATATGATTTGTTCATACTCAGTTCAGGGAATTATCTGTGGTCCAATGATTAGAGTTACTTAAACTTAAATGGTTGAAGGTTTATCGGTTTCCGTTCAACAGAATTGGATTATACACTCGTATACAAACCATTTGAGTTGACTTAACTCATCAGGTTTTACAGTGTGTAATTTCTGGTGTGTGTGAGTTTGAAGGGATTGATTGAGCGTATATGAGTGTATAGACCATTTCCATTGAATGTGACGGGTTGAGCTAGTCAGATGCGTTTCTGTGATTCTCTGTGAGTCCTCTCTCTGAAAAAAATTCACTGCTCTGTTTTTTTCACTTTTTTCTCTAAGTTGGCTTTGATAGTTGACTGCATTCTGGCATGAAAAGCACTTTCTGACATTAATAGATCAAGCATGTTTGGAACTGGGTTAGAAAAAATACATGGACAGGTTTGAGGGGCCATGAGGATTGGTTTGAGAGCTACTAGGCTGTAAGAATCATTATAATTGGGCAGGGCTTCCTAATCCCAGTCTTGGTGACCCCATACTCTTGTTTTTGTGTGTTCCCTACTCTACACGCCTGACTCAGACCACAAGGAGCTTGGCTAATGAGTTGAGCCAGATGTGCTAGATGAGACAAAGCACTGTGCATAACATGGGTTGCCAAGACTGGGACTGAGACTGGGAACCCCTGTAGTAGTGCATTCTAGATCTTCTGTGAAAATTCCCCGATCACAATTCATAGTTGGAGCACCCCTAATATTGGAACATCTTGTCCGTGTGTCTTTTGTATTCATTTCAAATATAGGCATCAGCATTAGCAAATTTCATGACAGCCCGTTTAAATTTCTGATTTCCTCTCTGTCTCTTTGAGAAGTATTTGAAACAAAGATGAGAGATTCACCAGGCTCTAGAAACCATAAAATGCTACATCATCATGTCTGTCTTGGCTTAACAGAGCTAGTCTCTTATTTATTAGTGCCTCAGTAAGCTCCTTACTGTCCACTCAACAGATCTCTCCCTTTAAAGAACCTTATTATACACACTTTCCTCCAAAGATTTTACATTATTGAATGGTGAAAATGGCTGAAAGTTAAATTCCCTTGCCTCTTGCCTCACAAAGGAGTGGTGGAGCTCTGTTCTGCTCTATTTGAACTGAGAAGTTCAGGGTTTAACCTGCCTGTTACAGAACCAGCTGAAGCATTCATGTATTTGAATTGGGATCTTTTATTTAATAATATTTATTTTTTTTAATTTTGCAGCATACTACTGCAACACAGCCAGAATGTATTTCAGTGACAGGTGCCTTCGTAAATGTGCCACTAAATTGTTGTAGGATATGTTTCCTCTCATTTGATCTACTTATAATGTTCTTGTAATTTAATATTCTTAGGATGTAATGCATTCATATAAAACACCGATCAGGCATAACATTATTACCTTGTTTCTACGCTCATTGTCCATTTTATCAGCTCCACTTACTATATAGGTGCACTTTGCAGTTCTGCAATTACAGACTGTAGTCCATCTGTTTCTCTGCATACTTTGTTAGCCCCCTTTTACCCTGTTCTTCAGTGTGTTGTATATATTTGGAGTGCCTGATGGACTTTAGCATGAGGAGAATTCCATTCCAGTATTCCAGTATTTACCTTAATGTTTCTATGTGTGTTTCAGCCTATTATGAACTACAACCCTTGGATGCTGCTCTATTTCATCTCTTTCCTCTTGATCGTGGCTTTCTTCGTGCTCAACATGTTTGTGGGTGTGGTGGTGGAGAACTTCCACAAGTGTCGGCGACACCAGGAAGCGGAGGAGGCCAAGCGTCGCGAGGAGAAGCGCCTGAAAAGGATGGAGAAAAAGAGAAGGAGTAAGGAGAAGGAGCTGGCTGGTCGGTAGTCTTTCCACATCTTTCTGAGTCCTGCTTGACCGTTAGATTTGACAGAGCGCTAAATTCCAAGCTAACGCTAAACAGAATGATCCGCGTCTGATGAATGAGATGCTCGGGCCCGCGCGTAGCTAGGACGCTCCCGACCCCCCAGCCTGCCCCCTCTGCCTGGGAACGTAGCTAGAGCATGTCCCGAGGCCTGCATGGTGGCCTGCTTTCTGAGAGAGAGCAGGGTGTGTGGTATATCCCTGTCCTGGGGGTCTGCCAAGTCTGCTCTTCTCATGCATGCAGGGCAGTGCAGTCTGAGTAGTAAACAGATTTCTTTAGTTTTGCCAAGTTTGTCCACAAAAATAAACAGATGAAAAGTTGGTAAGATCCTACAGCCCTAATCACACCGAACAAACTTGCCGGTTTCCACCTTTTTATATCTTAGTCCACTGCCTACTATTAATAGCACAAGGTTACAGCAAAATTTTCAAGAGTTTTCCACTTAAATCTGTCTGATGATCAATGTTTGGCAGCATATTGTGAGCCAACGTGATAGTAGACAGTGGCAATGCTTTTTTGTACCCTTGAGAAATACAGATGATAATTTGCCCTCTGCTATAAACAATGAAAGGTGTTCAGTCACAAAGAAACAATCAAACCAGTCCACAACTAAAATCAACACAACCACACACCAACTCTCAGAAATCTCACTATACAACTTATTCTGACAGTAAATGGTCATATTTTGTCTCTTATTCTTGCACCCCGAAAGAACCCCTGTTGGTCTGCCTGAATTGATTCATATCCCTATTTGAGTTGTGCATTGTCTAAGGGTTTTTATTTATTTATTTATTTATTTATTTACCCACCCCTTTCCTTCCCGCTGAAATGGGAACAGCTTCAAGTTCTTTTCCTTTTTCTTCTCTTGAAAGTCTAATTTCTTTGTGGCTTGAGTGGTTTATGTTGCAACAAGAGTGGTAGGTCTCAAGTGGAGTACAAGGTAAGCTTTAATCTTATCCAATCAGTTTACTTTGTGATGCTGCAGCTGGTTTGTTGATTAGGAAGCATGTTTTATAGTGCGCCTCAGTTGACGCTGCCGTTTGAGGACAAGACTCATTAACTGCCCAAGTGTAGAGATTTATAAGTAGCTAACTAACAACATATATTTATTCTATAGCAGCCCTGCCAGACACAGTGAGAGTGCAACATTTTCAGTTGACTAGCAATTGTACATTTCATTTAGATTTCCTAACTGAATGTTTAACTCCAATAGTATAATATAATGATTTATTATCCAAACTAAATTAATGTGTATTGGATGTCTTTGGACAAACAGAGTCAAATGGCCAAATGTAGCCAACTAGATTAACAGTAATGCTAGTCATGAATGCACCAGCATTGTCAGTCACTCAGGATCTGTGAGAACATTTCTGGAGGACCTATTTTGTGTTAGCTGGGAATTTATATTATACCAATAAAGTCATGCAGTGACACACAGCCAGGAATACAAATACCTCGCTTACATAAAAGACGTCCTACAAGAGTCTTGCAGATTCTGAGTGACTAATAACTCTGACGGTCACTCATTGAACTATTGTCACATTTGGAGCTAGAATTCTATTTCATTTCTACTGACCACCGGAGGCAGTGTAAAGCAAGTGAAGGGTGATTACTAATAAAGTGACAAAGAATTGGACTCATCTGAAGTGAAGCAGTAGCAGTCCCAAGTAGGACTTCTGTGTCCAAGGGGAATTTATATTATACCAGTAATATCAAGCAGTGACATGATGTGTGATCCAATCAGGAATACAAATTATGTCCTGAAAAGAGGACATAGAAATAGAGGATGTATGGTCACCCTAACACAGAGGAGTTAGCCATAGCTAATAGCAACTGCTAGATTCACATTATGGTTAGGGCTGATATAGAAATGCCCAGGTAACACAGCAGCTCGGATATAGGGTGACCAAATGTCCTCTACCTAAAAAAACGCGTCTGGCCAGGATTTCAGGGATTGCCTAAAATGTTCAGGATTTGGCTTTGCTTTCATGTTGATATTTGCTTTCTGCAGCCTGCCTTATGCTGCCCTCCTGCCCCCATCGTCCTCTTTTTTGAAAGCCAAAATATCATTATCCTAATGTAGTAGTAGAATCCATTTCTTCTATAACCTGACATCAATGCTAGTATATCCAATGGCTCTGATTGGGTGCAAGTCTGGGAAGCCAACAGTAACACACTGAGCTAGCAGTCTAACCATCCGCAAGGCTGGCTGGGAAAGCCAACTGTGTCAACCCAAGCTAATGAGATTGAGTGATCGGAGATGAGTCACTGCTCTCAAAGCCTGTGGGGGAAAGAACAGAAGCTGCGATATTGTCGCCAAGATGTACGAGAACAGTCTAAGTTGTCAGTCTGTGTTTATATTACTGGTTGTGTCATACATTTTGTCACTGCATAACTTTGTTGGTAGAAGATATAATCGACTGTGTACCTGTGTGTGGTGGTCAATAGGAATGTAATAGAGCTCTTATGTAACTTGAATAGAGAATGCACAGATGCCTTTTTGAGTGTTTTTTTACAGTCCAGCAGACCGAAACAGGAAAATAGGTTTAGCCTTCTCACAATGTCTAATTACAACCAGATTAACAAATTCATCTTGCTAGTAGTCGTCTGGATCATGGTTGCAGCCAAACAGCCACTACATGGAGAAGCAATCCAACACTTCAGAAAAAACTTTAAACTTTTACTTTAAACTTTACACTGAATTTTTAACCTGTAAACTTTTATAAACTTTGACATGAAATGTTAAATAGGATACACCACATTTTTCTTGCTATTCCTGGCTCAGTGCCAACTCCTAACAAAACTGAGCAATGCCAAGTAATAGAACATGAGAGAGACTAAGAGACCACCCCTGCCCCCGCCTCATAATGTCCAAAATTTACCTAGAATCTATGTACATGAGCCAGCTAAATGCAATTGAGTGACTTGTAAGGGAAGTTCAAGAGTGGCTTCACTTCCAAAAAGTGCTATCATACCTCTAAAAACTTAAGCCTGCTTGGTGTAATCTCCTGAAAGAAGCAAACCCTCAAAACAAGGCAATGGTACTGCAACAGCATTGTAAACAACAGTACTGAAGGCTGGTTCTGGACTCAGAATAATTGGAAATACCTACAAATACAAGAACTTTCATAAGCACATTCTCCTTAAAAGTCCTCACTTTTCACTTAGGGTAAAGCCTTCTTTGGCCCCACCTGATTAACATGGTCTGATTCTTCTAGATATATTGCTGACGGGTGTCAGTTGGCCCGGTCCTGAAGGCGGAGTGACAGGTACAGAGCGTTTCTGGCATGCTTATGTGTTCACCATGGTTGGGTTAAGGGGGTTTGGTTGCAGGCAACATGAGGGTGGGCACCTTCAACAGCCCAAGACCTCACCTCATCTGATCTCATTTAAGCCCGTGGGAATCGTCTGTGGAAGTCTTGTTTGTGCAGTTACCCACAACTCATCCACTGTCCACCAGCATCACCGACACCAGCCAGCCAAACCTCACTCTCACACAGTATATCACACACACAGACAGACAGAGGGAGACAGACAGAGGGAGGGGCATAGAGAGAAGAGGAGAAGGTACCTCTAGTATTAGAGCAACTGCTTTTATGGTTTTGTCTTAATTAAACAGCGTAACTTCTATATATAGTCGCTGTTGTAACAAAACCTTGTATATCCAAATATGCACGTGTACAGTAGAAGGAAGAAAATGTTCTTAACGTCAGGGTATGTTAATGTAACATACTTTTATTTAAGTCATTTTGGAGTGTTTCTATTGGTCAGTGTTGGGATTACTCAAAAATAGGTCATCAATTACAAATTGCTAATCTCTAATGAGATTAGTTTACTTATTATTGCTCTTGCTCTCTAAAATAACAGTTCAAAAACAGCTGCCTCAGAATAACATCTTTAGGAAAAAAATGTAGAGCTACAGAGCTTTTACTGAATGAAAATCGAGCCTGGCCTGTTTAGGTGAGTTTGGGGCTCTTTCTTCTTCAACATGGGGATTTTTATCCATCAGTTTGATATTAGTATGATTAGATGCTTTTGCACTACTGTATTGAGTGACCCCCAACACTGCTATTGCCCCATTCAACATTAAATGTTCACACAATGTTAAAGGCAGCTGGTCTTTCCAAATGATGGGAAAAAAACTAAAAATCAAATGAAAAAAATGGAGTTACAAGGTTTGATATGGCAACGAGGATATGGATATGTACTATTATTTTGTAAGTACTAGCATTTCTTCATAGAATAGTTTAATGTGTTGAGCAAAATATAATAACACATTCTTGGTATCATATCGTAGATCCAGTGTAAGACCACCCTCTTGCCGTTGCCCTCATTGCAACACATTGTGGCTGACTGTGTGAGGGGAACTTACAGAGCTATAGTCTTTAATCTGTCTGCCTCTGATTGCTCTCATTGGTTGGTTGTCGTTGCGCAGTGCTCACTTTGTATTGTGATGTAACCTCATGACACTGTTTTCACAGTTCTGGTGGCATAGTGAGACGTCTTAACACACCACACCACTCATCTCAGTCAGAGACTGCATGACTGTGTGAAAACTCATGTGCGACTGATATGACCAAACTGTACATCCATGTGATGTATTAGCTTTAAACAGTAATTTACATGATACTGCTTTACCATCACTAGAGAGAATATTTCTGGGAAAAAAAGTCAAATAGACAGATGGTGATGATCTCAGGTGATGAGAAGAAAGTGTCAGCCATTCCTTCTGAAATTGAAGGAGGGTAAAAGGCAAAATGCTGGTTTGTTGGCACATGTGACAGCTGTACATGTGCTGATTTTTTTCATGGCAGTGGATGGGCTTTTGGTTCTGATCCCAGTGAGACAGACAAATGTGACGGGGCATTTTTAAATCTAGAAGCTTCCGCAGCAGAGTGTTCACAATATGTTTCTGTCTGCTTATGTAATTAAGTTGGAAAGCTCAGCATTCATATGTATAGAGTGTGTTTACTGGTGCTGTGCTCAGTCAGACTGAGAGGCCTCTTATCTCTCTGCCACTGTTGGTGGCTGAGAAATTCTTTTTCAGACGCCCAGGGCCCCCCATGAATTCGCCCTCCTCTGCACTTCTCTCCTTTATTATCCCCTCAGCTTTAGTCTGCCCTCCCCTCGCTCCCTCAGTATTTATTTCCCTTTTGTGTTGTTCTCTTTTAACCACTTTTAGACACCTTCATTTCTTCTGAATTTCGTTTTTTTACAGCCCGCTGTGAGCACAGTGCTATAGTTTGAGTCAGGGCATTGAAAGGAGCAGTAAGTACCACCTTCCATTAAAATCATTAAAAAAAGAACATCAGTGAGGGTGACAGCAGTAAGCTAGGAATGTTTCACAGTGACATGCAGCAAAAGCTAAGGATAGCACATGGGCTAGGAACACTAAGACTGGGACATTGGGGAACAGCTATCCTTTTACCTATTCAAGTATATGAATATGGCTGCAGCATTTAAGGCCACTGCACATCGGATGCAACGCGTCGCACAGCATCACGTCACATAGCAGAGCACTGCTGTACAGTGCTGGCAGGGAGAGGCAATAATCGCCAGGTTCATCTGTACACTGTACTCATATAAATTGAATAAAATAGGACTTTCAGCAGAATGGTTATGGTTAATCAGTCATTTAATTAAATAATTATCAATAGTTAATAATCAGTTATAGAGATAATCATTAATAGTTGCTCTAGAATAGAACATTGAGATTTTGTTCCATGTGAAACACTGTGAAAAAATTTAGTTATAAAACCATGTACTCAGTAGCTTTCTGCATTATACTTTGCTTAATCATTAGGTTGCTTGACTATGTGTATCTTTTTTATCCCCCAATCTTTGGGCAGTGCTCTAAAGAAATTCTGCAAAGACAAAACTCTGATAGGTAGCCAGTTTGTTTGTTTATTTGTTTACCATTTATGTTTTGCAGGATAAAGTATTTTTATAGCTAACAGCCTGGTTGTGTCTGTTTTAGAAAATGAACTAACAGAGAGTAGCTAGATTAGTTCTAATTTATCTGGAATATTTTTATTGTGGTAACTGAAAGAACAACAGCATAAATAATCAATAAGAATCCACAAGTGAGTATTATTTGGCAGATGTTGAGCATATATAAGGCAAATATTGAGAAATTAAAAGGCCATATTATGGAAAACTGAACTTTATGTTTTAACCAATTGAGTTTAATGTGGTAGATAAACATTGTTCAAACATTAGTCTCAAACCGTACCCTTCACTCTCCAGTCCATACAGTTCAAATATGGAAACTAAGCTTACTTAACCATTACTGTTTTGTGATGTCATAAAAAAACAATAGCCTACATATAACACACTGAAGTTATAAGCAGTTAAGCAGTGTTTCAGTCTGGACTACTTTTTGAATGAAGCACAATAAGGACAGCCAGATAATTTGGATATATGTATACATCAGTATTAAGGCACCATAACAAAACCAGCCTGTTTAATTCTAAGGAATAAAGAGAGGTTGGAAATTGGTCATGTAAATGTAAATATGAGTTATGGCTGTTTTTGGCACATAAAACCCCACAAACATCATAAGTGAACCACAGGGAAGAAGATAAAATACAAAAAACATGGGTGCATAGATGCACTTTCATACAGTGCGTCATTTAGGAAAGTCACTCAGCTCTCAATGATTGCTGCATATGTGTAATGACCACATTGTCACTGCCCTCTGGATGGAGAAGTGACAGGCTCCGTTTTGTTTCTAATTAGCGAACAATGCGTTAATTAGCCGGCCGTCCAGTTCGAGTGTGCTTCAGCATGTTTTAGAATTCTGCACGGGTTCTGGATAGGAGGGGTTTTACCCCCCACCAATCTGTCTCTCTCAATTAGCTCCTGTTCCTCTCGGGTTGGCCTGCTGCAGCTGCTGTGTGCTAGCGCAGAGAATCAAAGGGGCTGGTTAATCATATCACTTGGTGGTAGGGCCAAAGCCATCTGCTTCTTCTCTACCTGTGTCCGGCTCTGACACTGTTTATTGGCTACTCACTGAGGTGTCTCATTGAAGGCCTGCTAGAAAGTCTGCTAGGACACAGCCTGTAAGTCATAATGAGCTACTTTCTTTCTGTACGTGCTTTTTTGTGCGTAGGATATTGCTGACTTTCTTTTCTTAATACATGCATCCATGCTGTTGATGGCTGCATTACTTGTACTGTGACTGGAGAAAACTCTAGTCCATATGCATGAAGCAGTTCAAAGTGCTTCATCGTTCTCCTTTTTAGTATGTGCAGAATGCCCATGCCATTCACTTCTGCATTAGTAGCACATTTCCTAGAAGAAACCCCAGTTGACATGTTGTAGGTGTTTCAAATTAATAGGAAGCCTGTGTTCACGCTTGGCATTTTTGTATGGAAAAAGTGCTTTTTTGGTGCAATTTTGTGCTGATGGGAGAGGAAAAAAAATGACTCAGGTGACATACACTATAACCATATCAGTGCTGCTTTGTATTAAGTTGTGTTACTAATTACTAAAGTAATTCACTTTTTATTAGATTTTTTTAATAGTATTGTGGTCAAGATCTTTAGAGGTAAGTTCAAGTCAAGACTGAGACCAAGACGATCCAATACCTGATTGAGATTTTTTTAGTATATAATATTCTGATCTGTTTGAATTTAGGAACCAGTGAAGATCAACAAATAATTAACACCCTGTTAAGCCATCATAGAAAGTTTAACGCGAAAGAACTGACCAGACACTCACAGATTAAAAGAGGAAAGTAGGCTTTTCTAGTTAGTATGTGATCCAAACTCAGAAAACAGGCACAGGTCAAATCCAAAACAAGCCAAAAGCACAAAGGGACAAACATAACAAAAACAGGCAAACACAGTTCAAAAGGGCAAAGCTAAAAGGCAAAGTCCAAAGTCCAAAAACACAGTCCGATACAGAAGCAGGCAAATAAATACAGAAAGAAACACTCAGTAACTCAGAGGAAAGAAGCAATACCTCGCAATTACTAAACTAAAGCCTTGGCTTTAAATGCTATCTATCATAGGTCATACGACAAACAAGACAGGTGCATAAGATTAGTTTTCAGGGGGAAGGGAATCGATGATTTGCTGTGGATGGTGGTGTGGTAGTCACATGATCACTAAGGGAGTTATAGGAATTGGATTTCTCCAAAGTGTCAGATCAATCAGATCCTCAGCTAGCAATAAAAAAAAGTTCAAGCTGACCCTGAAACCCCAATATAAGACCAAGACCATTGATTTATAGTCTTGAGACTCAAGTAGTATAAAAATATACAATA